CCCCCCCTCCCCCGCCCCTCGCGCTCGCGCAGCAAGCAAAAAAGCAACAACATAATACATACCTCCGGCGGTCCTTCCCCGCCCGCCTCGCCGCTGTACTCGGCGGCGCACGCCTCCTGCTTCTCGCAGACAACATCCGCGGCCGACAGGCCGTACGCCGAGAGCACCCCGGAGAAGCGGCTGACGAGGATGCGGCTCATGCCGAGGGCCCTCGCCATGGCGCAGCAGTGCTGGGGGCCCGCGCCCCCGAAGGTCGCCAGCACGTGAGTCGACGCGTCGTGTCCCTGTTGGTAGGATGGAGCGAGAGGGGGAGTGGTCGCGGTAAATGTTCGTTCAGGAGGACGAGACACAGGGCAGGAGGCGGGAAAGAGCGGTGTCGGATACACGCGATGGCCTGCGTCTCTTGGGCGCGAGCCCTCTGAACACGGCGAACCCCTTCTTTTTGTCGTCGCATTTTCGGCCTGGGGAGTAGTTCGGAGGAGATAAAATACCACCCACCACCGACACCTCCCTTCCCCGACTAACTATATCTTCGAAAGGAAATATCGCCATGTGTGCCGTTGTGTGGGAAGTCGTCTACAGGGAAAGCAGCGGCGGTGGCGATGAACGCAAGCGTGCGTGAACCACCACCACACTCGTTTTTTTTTTTTTTTTCTCGCCTTCATGGTGGTGAGGTTTCTGATGGGCCGACACATGGCCTCGTTGGCCACCCTGATGAAACCGTAGGCGACCTTCGGGAGAAACGAGCAACAGAGCAGGAGGCGAGCCACGCGCGGTTGAAACGGCCGACAAAACGAGGGAGAGCGCAATTTACCGATCCATGGCACGAACCGCCGCGTTTTGAATTGGGTGCGATTCGCGTGAACGCGTGTGCACCAATGAATGTGCCACGCCGCAGTCAGACGTACTACATTTTATTGAAACGCACACGTTACACGGTGCAACAAAGGCCAACCGGCACGGACACACCCGGCCGTATCAATCATACACCGGGCCTTTGGTCAGCGCACCCCATCACAGAAAACGCATTCCTCGCTCCCGACACCCTTCACCCAGGAAAACAAAAAAAAAGCGATGCCAAGACTCCCATGACTCACGTCGTCCGCGGTCTTAGCGGCGGGGGGTGATGCTCCGGTCTGAGCCGCCGTCGCGGCGGCGAGAGCGTTGACCTGCTTGGCCATCTCCTCGAACGCCAACCGGGGTCCCTCGGCGTCGAGAGGCTCGTCCTGAAGAAGAAGAAGAGAGAAAGAGGACGACGGGGATACGGATCCACTCCATTAAGGGTATGGCGAACCCACGGATGCTGAGTATACACTCGATGGAGGAAACCAATCGATTAAATAACTTCATGCTCGATGAGTGACTCGCAAAAGTAGTAGTACGCTGAATCGCCAACTTGGGCAGCAGCTCCAGTGAACTACTGCTGTACTTGTTGTTGGCCAACCCATCGCGTTCCGGAAGGGTCGTGTCTGTCTGCGCTCGCGATCCAGCGACCAACCCAAGGGAACAAACACGGTTGGCATCTACAACACTCACTGTCTGTGCGTCCGTGCTTTTCAAGCAGCACATCACTTCAGCAGGTGTCCCGAGAGACAAGGTCTCCACTAGACCAACCGGGTGGGAGCTCTGTAAGACCTGACGACAGTCTGGCGTGTTTATCCACTTCCAGCGATCCTGCGATACCGTCACCTCGTTTGGAGAACCACACCAACAATACACAGCAGCCACATGAGCAACAACAACAACAACAACAACAACAACAACAATAACGACAACGCCCCACCTCCCGGGGCCCGAATATCCTGGGGAAGTAGCGCGGGATCACGCGTCCGAGGAACACGTTGGCGTCGGTCACAGCCAAGTGTCCAGACTTGCGGTAACACACTGGTCCAGGGTGTGCGCCGGCGCTCTGCGGTCTGCAAAAACGAGGGGCAGCGGCGGCGGCGGCGGCGGCCACCACCGGGCGTGACGGAAAAAAAATGCGAGAAAGACGAGGGGGCAAGAATGACTCGGCGTTGTGGAATGTAGAGTGGCGAGGGGGCACAGCAGTCGGTAGGAATTTCGAAAGCAAAATGCACGGGGGGCGAGTACGAGGGGGCGCTAGGAGAGGAACGGGGAGAAGTAGTAGCGGAACAGCAAGATCGGTCGAGCAAACAATGGATGTCGAAAGGAGGGAGGGATCTCGGCTCTCTCGTCCGTCAACTGTTTGATCGAGAAAGTCGCGCAAGCCAGGTGCAGCCACTCTCATTTTTGCACACGCACAGAACCGTACAAGCACCGCTCACAGCAGTGCATTGGGAAACCGGACTCGAAGTCCTAGCCACAAGGCTCCCGTGGTTGTGCCCCAAACAACACACAAACTACACGCACACCATAGCATATCCAGCATGCACCACAGAGTCCTTATCCGACCCCTGCCCCATCCTCAAGTTACACAACACACCGCCTTCCGAAACTGCTGTGTCCCGCGTATCGCATGCGGTTCCATTATTAATGCTGCCACACCGTATACCGACGTGGGAAAACGAGCAAAGGCGGCGGGTGGCTCACCCGACGGCGAAAAGGCCGCTGCGAAAGAAGAGGCGAGATCCTCCGCCGGCGGCGACGGTGTTGATGTCCAGCTGCGGGGACTGCAGCGTCACCCCTGCCGTGACGGTCTCGAACACATGCTCGAACACCCCGGCGAACCGCGACACGTCTTGAGGTTTCCACAGTGGTCGCACGGCGCAGCAGCCGGTCGAGAATTGATAAAAAAAACGGATAGACATACAGACAAGGCAGACAGCAGTAGTTGCAAAGGGATCAGCGAGCATCATCCACCAGTGCGCGCCAATGGGTCGGCGAGAAAGGAGGAGCGGCGGCGAGGGGGGGGGGGTTAGGGGGCGGGCGAGGGAAAGGGGACGATAGGACGGGAGTGACCGGAGGTACAGGGCGACTCTTGACCAAAAAGCAAGACACAACAAAGACAAAGAACAGCTACTTCTACGTGATTGTTGCAGACAGACTTAAGTTGCTGTTGGAGAGCGACCAACGCTGTTACGCTTAGGACGGTGGGCCTCACCGGTAGACGTGCCGCCCATGTCGAAGCCGATCACGGCCGGCTTCTCCTCCCTGCCGCCGCCACCGCCGCCGCCGCCGCCGCCGCCGCCGCTGCCGGTGGCACCGTCGTCGCCGTAGCTGGTCGCGGCGTAGCCCACGACACCGCCGGCCGGGCCGGAGAGGATGGCCCGGCTGCCGCGGAAGCTGGCCACGGGCGTCAGGCCGCCGTCGCTCTGCATGAAGAGGGTCTTGACGTCGTCGAACCCCCGGTCGAAGCCCGAGCGGAAGGAGGCCACGTAGCGGGCGATGACCGGGGTCAGGTAGGCGTCGGCGGCGGTCGTGAAGCCCCTCGGCACCGCCTTGACCATGGGCATCACCTCCGACGACAGCGACACGTGCGTGAATCCCATCTCTCCGGCGAGCTTGCCCACGCGCCGCTCGTGGTCCGCGAACGTGTAACTTCATCCCGGGGTTTGCAGGTGTTGTTGTTTTTGTTGTCGCGAAGCACGAATCAAAACCAAATCGCCAACAACGGAGATTGAAGCACGCCACGCGGAGTGTGGGTAGTCGGGGAAAGGGGGGGGGGGGGGGGGGAT